AGAGATTAGAACACGGCAAGGAAACATTTTTATGCATTTCTTAAATCAACTCAAAGTTTTTATCAAAAAATATAAAAAAAATTTAGTATCGATGACACAAAATATTTTACTGACAAATTTAAACTTTTTCAGACCACAACTTGTTACTGATACAGAATAGAGCCATAAAAATAAATTGAATATTCCTTCGGGAGTTATGTTATTTGAGCGATGGAGAAAAATTGTCTCCAGATATCGAAAGGCTCGTTAACTTCAAAATATCTCAAACATTCTTATGTTTAAGTTTTGATTAGAAATCCTTATTTTTTTTAGAAAGTATGTCTAACGTTTGTTCACGAAAATTGTATCGCATTTAGAACATGGCGATAAGGCAAATGAAAATTTTCCAAAAAGCTTTAATTTTTGGATTTTTTTTGCTTGAAATGACAAATAAAAAATATATATGTAAATAGTGAAATTTCCATATCTCTTCTCCACTTCATGAAACACCAGTTAATACTATGTCTCCATTTTGAGATTTACCATATAAAATTAAATCTCGAAAGGCGGTAGATTTAAGTTAAATCTTCGTCAAATCTTCAATAATATTGATCAATAAGTACAATTTGTTGGATGTGACAACCACAAATTCACATGCCATAAGTCAAATGACATTTGTGTTTTCAATATATAGTTGAGGACATTGAAATCTTGCCTATCATAAAAACATGAATTTTCGTATTTTTAGGAATTTTTATATTTTTGTTAGTTTGGGAGGAAAATTAGTAATACATATGTACATAACTTTGGTTGTAATAAATTAAGAAAATATTATTTTAAAAACTAAAAATTTAGAAGAAATGTTTTATAGTAATATCATGCAGAGTCTTCTCCGCTTTCTATAAGTCATTTGCGCGCTCCGACAAAAAATTTATAAATTTCGGTATTGGTTCTGCTTCGATAACATTGCACCGAACATCCTCTAGAACTCAATTCGTCTTCATGATATGCCAAAGGCCCACGATTGGATTTTCGGTTCCCTCCTATGAATAAGAGAGTTCTACTTTTTCTTTTCGCAAATGTTTTTTACCGTTTCGATAATTTTTCTTAAATTTGGGAAAATGATTGGGAATATGGTACCATTCTTTACATTTTCCAAACTGTATATTATACATACATATTTACCACGAATAAGAAGCCAATAATATTAAGAATTCACATAATGAAATTCCGCTTGGTACCTTCTTTTATCTGTCTGTATATCAATGTCCGCAACTGTATTTATAAAATCATACGTAAGCAAACGTCAAATATTTAAAAATGTGAACGTCAAACATATCTCGTTGTGGTAATGGAGACGGTTGTGATTTAGCAACTGGATTTATTAAATCTTAATGGATAAATCTCTCAATGGAGACATAGTATTACAGGCTAACCTAATATTCACGCACGCCGCCAATTTATTGTCAAAAATTTCTCATGCACATGCAACTTGTATGAGATCAACCGAAATTGAACGGCGTGCGTATGAAGCTAACTCAATTTCCAATTTTTGTTCTGCGTGACATTTTGATTTGACGTTTCGCTCAATGAAATCAAATGCAAACGCATGCAAGTGAATTTCGGGTGACGCAAAAAAACAAGTTCGACGGCATGCGTACCAAAACGCAAGCCGCGAATATTAGGTTAGCCTGTTAGCCCGTGAAAGGAAGTAAAGTAAAAAAAATAATAATAATCAAAAACTCAACAAATTCCAAAAAAAATTCAAAAAATATGTATGTAAAAAAGAAACGATTCAGTATTCTTACCGCCGGTTTTGCCAGAAATTTAAATGGAAAATGATTTCGTATTTGCTGTCAATTTCCGTATTAAATTCAAAAAATTAATATATTTTTTTACTTAAATTGCTTTCGTGAAATTGGCTGCTAATAATAGAGTTCACGATATAGTTTTACTTTCGTACGAAAATTTATGCAGGTTTCTTCTTTGCTAATATCGTCTTCTAATATTAGATCCAATTTCAGAACATTAATTTGAAACGATCTAATTTTCCTTGAAAATAGTACATAAATTCTTTCGATACTCGAATAAATCAATCAACGTCGAAGTATTCAACTTCTCAAATATTTTTTTTTCAGAGATTACCATTAAAATTGTATTTTTTTCGACGAAATATAACGTTGACGATTTTTTTTTTTTGTTATTCAATAATTTTAAATATCGAACAAAATACAGATAATATTTTTTTTATTTATGTATTTATTCATTTCTTTTAGACAAAATGGCTGCATTTCTTTATTCATTCTGAACGTTTGGAATAACCTTTTTTGTTTACTTATTCTTTAGAACGTTCCTGATGATATGTTAACGTATATTTCAAACGCATTCTGTTTATTCTGGCTGTGAAATTGGATTATCCGGAATGTATAAAGAAACGCAGCCAATATGTTATACAGTAGTTAGTGATATTTTATTTTATATTAATTTTTTTTATTTTTTTTTTTTAACTCCCACAAAGCACAACCCTCTCGCAGTGCATTGTGTGCATTCAAAGCTAAATAGAAATTTAACTCGTCTTCATGCCATCACACATTTGTGATTCTCGCTACCTCAGCATACATACATATTTCTCTACTAAGTACTTACTAATAGAAAAGAGCATAAAAAGCTAAAGCATTGAACATTTGTAAGAACATCAAATTTATACACTTTTTTAAACCAAGAAAGAGTTTAATTAAATACAGTTTATTTTTTACATATCTTAACTAATTAAGTCTACATTCGAAAATTTTCCGCCAAACTAACCGTCAACTTCTCTATATGAATGTATTTTTTTTAGGCGTGATGCAAGCGACTACAATGGGCGGCGCCAAGTTGGAGAAACGCTACTCGCCCAGTTTTCGCGAGGAGCCCGCGCGCAAGATGAGCAGCACAAAGCGCAAACGGGATGATGTGCTAAGGTGGGTACAGCAGCAATGCGCTGAAGAAAAAAATAAAATAAATAAAAATAACTACAACACAAATACTTAGCATTCGTTTCAATTTGATACGATTAAAAATTGCTTAGAGCGATGCAAATAAGAATTTGCTTATTTTTAGATTACATACATACTACCAGTTAACCTATATACATACATACATGACGACCCAACAACCAAATATGGCAATGAATTTTTGCTTTTATTTTAGATCTAAAAAAATTGCTTTGAATAAATGTTTGCGTGTGTTCGCGTTGCTAAAATGCATACCAGTATAAAAAAAGCGATTTGTGTACGTGATACAAGCTCCTCAAAGCAAAAAAAGCTTACTAGCGGGTATGAAATGAAATCAAAAAATATATCTACATAAATATTTTTTTAAACTACAAAATATGTTTAAAAAACACTTTGTTATGATAAATTCATGGCGAACATTAAATTAATGAAATTCGCATGAACGTATCCAAAACACAAATATTTTTCCATGCCCCCGTGTATTTCTTTTAGGCCGCCATTAACGACGACCATCACGAACGCGCAACATTCACAAGCTATGCTCTACAATAATTTAGCCGTGTAGTGCTCAAGAACACACGGCTCGTAAACATGAAACCAAGCACACAAGCACCCAAGCAAGCAAACCAAGTGAGCCGCCAGTGAGCGAGCGAGCGACTGATCGTGCGCCACACATTTGGGACGCCCCCTCTGCACTCGCCGCCCCTGCCGCAAACACTGGAGCCGCCTTGCAACCTCTGCGAGCCACACCCACGCACTCGACTCCTCGCCAGCCAGTAGCCAAACGCCGACCGAATAGCCGTTAAAGCATGGCCGAGCGCTGCTGCCGACGAAGAGCTGAGGAAGCCAAGAGCAAATGGGCGAATCACTTGTAGCCTGAAGGTGGTCTGTAGTTCTAACTACGATACATACGCTAATCATACATAGATTTCTTTGTTTATTTATATTCATTGCTGTAGTAAAGCTAAACAAAAAAAAAAACTAAAAAATTAACTTTTTAAACTAAATAATTTTGTAGTAATGCTAAATTTAAATTGTAGAGTTGAATACAAATTTATAGTTTTCTAATATATGTTCATACCTACATACAACCATATATGTATATGCGAATTTATATTAGTTAAGCATTGTGCAATCAAAAATAAATATATATTTTGAAACAAAAGCCACGTATTTGTTTATGAAATCTTTTAATGCCTACAAGGTTTCTTTTCTTCTCTCTCTTTTGCAGGATGAAAGTTCATAAGAATGGAAATGCTGCCGATGTTATAAAAAGTATTTCGCAATTAGACAACACAAATAAGCAATGTTAGTATCCAATAGATGAAGTTGTTGTGGTGGTGACGAACAACCAGCCAAACAAAATCTAACAATCATAAAATCAATCAACTTGAATTTTTGTTAACAAAACCTGCCATAGTCACTTTCATAAACGAAACATCTGAGTATCGAAGTTAACATTCGTATTACGCCATTGCATTGGTTCAATAGTCACTTTCATACAACAAGCAAAGTTAATTTTCTGTAGAAACTTTGGCCAGCCAGGATTTCTGTGTGGAAAATTACATTTTCATACAAATTTTTCAGGGTCCTTTTTTCGTTAAAATATTGCACGATGACAACCACACTTAAGATAATATTATTTAATTTCTCTATTGAAGCGGTTAATTGCCAAAGGGAATAAGTCAGCATTTGTTCGATATGACAATTTTGATCCAGTTCGGTTTGTTTAAATTTTGAGTAAATTACGAAAAACCGAAAAAATTTGCCAAAAAATCGCAATTTTCTCGAAATTTTGAGGGTGTACGAGTCAAAAGGACCTCAAATTTAGATTTAGCAGGTGGGCCTGGTTAAATATAGGTACAGAAAACGTTTTTATTTATTTTTTTTAATTTGCTTGTTTTTTAAAAAACTAGCCTCAATTCCTAAGGGATCGCTTGAACCTGATTTTTGAATTTTTTTTGCTCAAAGTATTTTTTTTTTGCTCAAAATAATCTTTTTATTGTAAAATGCAGAAAAAATAGCAAATTTGCATGGTGGAATAATACAAGGTGTTGGATATTGACAGCGTTCTCGCTCTAATCCGCCATCTTGGCTCCCTTAGCTATATCGGTGTTTCCCTCTTGAAAAAACTACATTTTATCGCCTTTAAAAAAGTACTAAACTACCTCATTCCCTATTCCAAAACTGATTTGCAATCACTGAACAATTCTTTGACATTTACTCTATTCTTATCGTTGGCAACTGAAAATTAAATTAGAAATTTCAACATTAATTCGGCAAAAAAACATCGGTTTAGAGTTCTCCCCAAGGATTTGTAGTTATTTTGGTCGGTGCTTCCTTCCGCTGCAATTCCGTCTGTGGTTCACTGCCACTGGCCTTGCTTTTTCAACGATATAACTGTTTTCTTGGTAAGTTTAGATGGAAGATTTACCCAAGAACTACGTACTTAACTATGCATCTATTCCCCAGTGATTTTTGCTGCTGCAATCCCGTCTGTGGTTCACTGCCACTGGCCCTGCTTTTCCAACGATATAACTGTTTTTTTGGTAACTTCTACCGCTAAGACTTTGTTGCTTTTTCCCTTTTCCCTAAAAACATAATAGTGCTACAAAGCTCAATAACAATATGGAAACAAATGTTAATAAGCCACAATAATATTGACAATAAATAAGATTTCACTACGATTGAATTTTCTATTAGTAACAGGGTAGTTATAGTGAATGTTTTATTCGATAACTAAAACTATATTTGATGTTTGTAGCGATAAAAATATGCCTAAATCAGCCAAATACCCTATGTGGGTCGGCTGAATCAGTAAAACGTGACAGTAGTTGACTTTTGAGGTTAATATATCGGTCTTGAGTTGGTAAGGTTTTTAAAACATCCGCAGCTTCCTTTAAAGCATCGCTGCTAATTGCTGAGAGGACCAGATTATATTTACCGACATAAGATGTGGTCTTGTACGACTGAAAGGTGGCCTCAATTTGTAGAAACCATTTGTCTGGCATCTCAGTTCAGAACGGTCGCAGCTTGCATTGCGATGTAAGCTCCACATCTTTAGCTGGCATTTTGTTCGATGAAATATTCTCCCCATCCGTCGATGCGCCCTTTTGTCGATTCCGTCATGTAACGACTCGGGGTCACCACTAATTTTTTGGTTTTGGAAGTTTGACTATAATTATAGGACATTGTGTTTAATAAACTAAATTACCATTTATTGCATAAGTACTACGTTATATATACTACTTTCGCGAATTTAGCTTATCATAATATACCGTTTGTAACTATTTATATGCAAAATTTTATATGAAAAATAGTACCAAATTTCGTACTACTTCGCAAAGCGGGCTTTTTTTTCTTCCCGTTTCTCTCGTGCTTCCATATTACAACATTTTGTAAGGGAGCTGTCGACATGAGCTGTCACTACGTACAACACCTTGTATAATTCCACCATGGCAAATTTGAAGAAAATCGTTTCTCTCGTTCCTGTTAATGAATGTTACATAATAAAAGCAGTCGCAAACAATTATAGGGTTGCCCAAAAACGAAAATTTAAATTTTAAATATCTATTAAAAAAATTTCGCCAAAATTTAAAAAAAGGTGTTTAATCTTTAAGGCAGTGTCACACGATTGGTACATTTGCACAGATTTGTACATTTTTATATTTTTCTATCGGTACAAAACAAAAAAAAAATGGGACTACAATTTTTTTTTTAGTCACACCATTGGTACAATACAGCAAACTTTTATTCAAAAAATTTTAACAAATTGTTTTTCGTGATTGGGTTAGGAAAAATATTTATGCTTTCATACGATTGGGATACGATTTGCACCAAATTTTGGGCAATGTCCAATCGTGTGACACTGCCTTTAGAAAAATGTGAGGTATGCCGTTTTATAGCCCATTAAGTTTTTAAGCATTATAAAGGCAAGTTTTAACTTGTTAAGAAATCACTTTAATTTTTAATAATAATCTTTTTTTGTGTTTAAAAAAAATTATTTGTAAATATTATTTTATATGTAACATTTCAAGTTTTTTTCAAAGTTATTTTTACGTTTGGGGTGAACCCTATAATTGCCTCCAACTCAGAAATCGCTCTCCTTCAAAACTGCTACTCTTTCTCATAGATATTGGAATTTTGCGTGCAGTGTTTTTTCTAATATATGTACCAGTTTTGTTGACTCTCTTTACTATGTTGAAATTTGATTTTATGCACTCGCGAATTGTGCAAAGGTGGGCGTACTTTCGCTGCCTTCGAAAAAAAAAGGTACGAATGCGCGCCTGATATTGTTCAGCCCATTTTAGTCGGATTTGTACCACATTTTAATTTTCATAGTTATGTACATAATGTGTACATACATACGTAGTCCGAAAACATGTCCCATGCCATTAAAATAATCTAGACATTTGCCATTTTCATAATCCTCGTACATATATTATATACCCCTTAGTGAATTGGCCTGTAATGCGCGAAAATGTGAATTCACAAGTAATCGATCGATGACCGGCTAAACGTGAAATGGCTAAAAATAGCGGTAAAATTAAAATATACCAATGTGTGTCTGTATGTGTGTGTACCAAACTCTATTTACGATGGGATATTTTCCGCAAAGCTCAGCGTAATTTAACGCCTTGCCAATTTGCAAATTATAGCAGCGTATCTCTCGAGCCTCTTGGTTGAAAGAAGTAGAAGTGCATTGTGAAAAGTGTGTATATTTATTCGACTCTTAACATAAACATATGAATTTATATGTAAGCATGTATGTATGTTTTTACATACCGACATACATACCTACTCAAATGCATATAATTTCGTCCGCAATAAAATGTGTAAGCTGACCGCAAGTTATCAAGAAAACGGCAATTTTCAATAGCTCTTTCGTAAGCATAATTATCATCATCGGTTTACTCATTCCGTGCATGTGTTGTGTGTCTTTAACGTTGATCTGCGTAGTTTTTACCATCTATACAAATTAAAAAATTTCAACTCGAATTTATTTCATTGAAACTAAATTTTTGTTTTTTTACTTTTCTTTTATCTCTGTTTAGATTTCCTTATGCTCGAGAACATAACATCACAATTTCGCAATCCATGCATATTGGATTTGAAAATGGGCACACGCCAGCACGGTGATGACGCCTCAGCAGAGAAGCGTTCCAAACAGATGGCCAAGTGTGCGGCCAGCACATCGGCATCGCTGGGTGTACGCCTTTGCGGCATGCAAACCTATCAAGCCCATCTCGATCAATATGCCAAGCGCGACAAGTACTGGGGACGCGAATTAGATGAGAATGGCTTTAAGCAGGCATTGCATGACTTTTTCTACAATGGCTATAGGTTGCGCATACGCGTCATCAAGAAGATTGTGCAGCGGCTATTGCAGTTGCGGCGCGTAATCGAAAAGCAATCCAGCTATCGGTTCTACTCATGGTGAGTTGAGGGGCAAACAATTACATGAATTTTTTATATTCATTTTGCTTGTAATTACACAATTAACATTTTTTTTTCAATTCTTTTTACGCAGCTCGCTGTTGATCGTCTACGAGGGCTACGAAGAGAATCCTCAGGTTCATCCCATGGACATTGAGGAATGGCTTACACCTACCACGCCGAAGTCGGCTACAAAATCCGCTACTTTCGACTACCATCCCGATAACAGCCTCGATGAGGATGACATCGATGAAGATGATGACGATGTGGTGGATGCAGATGATGACACTGCCGGCCATGATGGTGGTGATGAGCTAGAACTCCATGAGACCGATGACGATCTGCATATGGTTGCAGCCGATAGCGGCAATGCCTCGGCGACTAATAGCAGCACCGGCGGCGATCCCTGCTGCTACGATGCCGACGCCTCAAATGACTCTACCAACACAGCTGCGCTGAATCTTACCACCTCGCGTCGCAAACGCGGCTTAACGGAAGCATCACTTGAAAGATCACGCGGCTTCGCGGAAGTTATCACACCCGTGTGCGGCTACGACGACTCCACTGCATCCGCATCTGCGACAAACACCGAAGTTGATGCCATCTCAATGCCGCCGCCACCGACAACAGCGGGCCCAGTAAGTGCAGAGAGCAGCAGTGCGGCTGCCGTCGCTGGCAGTAGCAGTAATCCGCCGTTCATTCCAATCTCCGAAGAAACAGTATTCCTCGATCCTGAGCCGCCAATGCCCAGCGTATCGACCTCGTCCCCGCACTCAGGTGACTCTTGGATGAACTATAGCAGCAACAGTAGCGATGATTTCTCTGGACTTTCCGAACAAATCAAAGCGGTCACCAGTGGACGGCAAACAGGCGATAATAGTTCTGACGAGGCCAGCTCTGACTATGACAGCAGCATAATTGGTCAAACGGAGGTGATGCTGAAGCGTTACAAATCGCAACAGGACTCCTTCGATATATCGCCCCTGGCGCAAGCAACCGATACGCCGCTATCAACTGTGGCCTCAGCGGCGTCGCGTCTGCCGCACACGCTAGCATCATCAGCATGCTCCACACCGCCCTTGCCGCCTAGCAGTGTCATCAAACTGCCCGCGTCTGTTGCTAACTCCTCGCCCACCTCGTCGACGGCGTCATCACTGAAATCTGTACGCGGCGCCGTTAAGCGCTTACGTTGCAAAGACGCCGACGATGAGGATGAAATGGATGCCAACGATAAAAAGAAGGACGCGATATCGACTTCTTCGCAGGCGAAAAAATCGACACACGCGCCAAATTTAAGCAGCGCGATAGCTAGCGGCTCATGCAACAGCAGCAGCGCGGCACCTGTTTCTTCAACACCAACTTCCGTCAACGCGTCACCAGCTAAGACGCCACTCATGACGCCCACCTCAACAACATCGGGCACCGAGAGCACAGCTGACAAAATCAAGAATACACTGCTCGCAGGCATACAAGATATGCATGACATGCACACCACGTGCAACAATGACAACAGCGCCAACAAAAATAATAATCATAGCAATAACATCAGCAGAAAGAAGGCCACCGCCGCGCGCTTGACGCTGCAACATGCCTCCAAATCGTTAGATATCGGCAGTTGTCAAGCGAACGCCAGCAGCGATGATGCGCGCTGCCCCGTAGACGTGCGCCTCATTGACTTCGCGCACACAGCATTCGTGCCGCGCAACGGCAGCGGGCTACTGCAGCAAACAACATCTAGCACGCCGGTGCATCATGGCCCAGACGGCGGCTTCCTAACGGGACTGGACAGCCTTAATCGCTTACTCAACGACATACTCACCGAAGAGGTCAGCGTTTAAGCGACGGTCGTGCACGCGCGCGCGGCTTATGTACGTGTGTGTGTTTTACCAGCAGTACGACGCGGTGGGGTGCGAAATCCGCATTGCAGCAGTCATGCTCTCAATGAGCTCAAAGTGCAGCAAGGAAAGCGCTGCAAGCTAGAAAGCGCTATAAAACCTTGCATGAACTTTAAAAATGCTGATAATCAAAACTACCACCAATAAAAAAACTATGAATGCTATGTAAAGTAGTTATTAAGCGCCACCAACAGCTTGGAGAGCAACCAATCCCCCAAAACACTTTTGCAATTGACTGAGTATGCAGAGTGAATGGTAAGAAGTAAGCAAGAATAAAAATGAGAAACGTGTGTGAGCGTTTGAGCAACTAAATTTAAGCCTAAAAATATAAAAATAGACTACATTTATTACTGCAAATTATGTGCATACATAAAAATATGAAAGTGGTATAAAGGTATAAGGGAAAATCAAAACCGTGCAACCGAGAGAGAGGGAGATGAAACTGAAGCGACACGCACAGCGTTGGCAGCAAAACAAAATGCAAAATAGTGAACAAAACGGGAGTGTGTCTTTTTTATGAACAAATTTTAAGCTAAAACATACTTGAATTTTTAAAAGGCAAATGTCGCGGGGTAGGAGTGTGAAGGCAGGAAATCGGT